TTACAGCATTATTTCTGACAAAGAAAAAGTAAAAAACGTTGAATTTTCTTATAATTTACCATAATGCGAAACATACAGTTTGAGTGTTCGAACTAGCTTTGACCAGAAGATATCTTCATACAGTAGGTTATAACATATCGGTTCTTGGTTTCTGATGAATCTTGGGATTTTTTCCAATTTAGCGTACAGTTTAAATTTCAAATGTATATATTTAATGCTAAAAGGAAAATAGGTATAACTTAGCCTGTCGTTGTCTGTTCAGGAAGTGGACTTCGCCATCTGCGGGATAGCTATCAATTCAGCTAGACAATCAGTGGTCGATCTTTCTTCTCCCTATATCTGGGATGCTTCAGTTTTCGTAACAAAAGCTCCGGGCCTTAAACCGCTCTCTTTTGCCATGATTCGACCTTTTTCAAACCAAGTAAGTAACCTTACACGTACAACGTAAAATACATTAACATAAAAGGTGGATATGAAATTATTATTGCTACATGGTATGGTATAATATACAAGAAATATTTTGAGTGTGTGCATAAAATATGGCAAGGTGTACTCTAATTGTTTCTGATAATGTCAGTAGCGGCTTCTGTGGTTATGTACACATTAGTTTCGTGTATTAGCAATAAACAAAATGGTCCATTGTTATTTTATCACTAGCAGTGATAACATTATGAAGTCTGGGACAGTGGGTATGTCTGTAGAGCTATACCATCAGAATGACTGCGGCAATGAGGCAGAACTCCAGACATATCCCTGCAGAACCAATAAAAGATGTGAGAACATTTTGTCCATTATTCCCCTAAATCATCTAGTGTCTTCAGGAATTAAATTTGTGAAATTATCAATTTTGAAGAACGTTTGTAATGGAGTTCGTAGCACATGTTGCAGTTGATGAAAAGGGCTCTGGCGGATCCTATAGACATTTGAGATCCAATGTACTTTTCATACTCATCTGGACCAGAGAAGAGAAACCTTTTCATTCTTCAAACGACACTGTGTGGTGCAGTTCCATTGCTATCTCTGACATTGAGACATTTTTATTTTCAGAATGAAAGCAACAGGGCTTGGCGACGTACACAGTGACAGGACAATGTTATCATAAGATGTTTTACAGTCGATTAATTAAAACTCCAACAGCATGGATTTATCTATGATATCACGTTCAAATCCATATCCATTGTCCACTAAAAATACTGCTTATAGAAAATATAGAAAAATAACTACTGTTTCGCCCTCTCGTGTAATATCCGCTAACTAGTAAAATGTACATTTTGGTTGCTTATGCAATTGTACAGTATATATCAGACGGCTCGCCCTACAAAAATTTCAAAATTAGCGTACTGACATGATAATTACTGTACAATAATTTCTTACAGTTAAGTACAGATTAAATCTACAGTTCTTTGATAGTTTGTTTAGGCAGAGTATTCGTGATGAAACTTAGTTGAATGGACGGCAACTGCCTGTTATAACTAAACACACGTTTTCAAAGTCACTACAAAATAGT